ATCTTGGTCTTTGATTCGGTCGACCTGTGACCAAACAACTTCGTGCTCAATTCCAAGGGGTTTGTGATTGATCAATCAAGTCCCTTGATCCTCTAATGACGGGTTTTTTGGTCTTCTATTTGTGGACCCTCCTGGCTAAACTTTCTCGTCTTTTAGTTCATTGAATTTCCTCAAGATTAATGCCAACACTTTTTTGAAGTACATCTTATTCGTCCTCTAAAGGATTTTTCACATATCTTGAGAAAACTCTCTTCTCCACCATTCTGCAATCTCTTTTTTTTCCCAATGAATTTAGCAAATCCATCAAACTTTATCAAAAGGTAAACTTCAATGCAAAACATATATCTTCTCAGTTGCATACTATTGAAATCTTACCTTCTAATACCTCAATCACATCAGAAATATTACTAATATTAACTTAACTAAAATGCATATTTTCATGCATATATTTTTTAATTAATGCAATTAAATGCTAGAATGCAATATAAATAAATATAAATTTTTTATGTATTAGATATTGAAATACCAAAAAAAAAAAAATTATGTGGCAAAAACATTTTAAAATCTAAATTAGAATTGGGTGTGAGAACATTGCTCTGAGGATAAAATTAAAATTAAAATGAAACCAAAAAGACAGCTCTTTCATTTTACTATGGCGCCACAACATGGCGCCAATCAATGCAATTATTTTGCATACAAATTCAGCTTTTTGGGAGGAAAAAATCAAAGAAATCAACCCAAAAAAAAAAAGAAATTAAAAAAAAAAATCTTCCAAGAATCTCTTCTGGTTCTGCTTCCTTTCGCATAAAATCGAAGTTAAAAATCGAAATCTAATTCGTAAATTCCATCACGATTAAGAAATAAAGAGTAAAATTACTTCACCCTTTTCAGCACAAAGGGGCTCGGTTAGGTTTCCCTTTTCTCACACACTTCTTCCCGATTAAATTCGGCAGCGGCGGCCGGTTGTCGGCGGCCGATTTGCTCTGCTTAGAATCCCCCATTTCTTTTACAGAAACTTCGCCGGCGACAGCTATTTCCCGCGTCCCATTCACGGAATTCGAAATCTCCGGATATTCGACTATCTCCGAAATGGTGGATGTGGAATCGCGGGTTCCGGAATGTAATTCAACAGTAGCTAAAGCGAGAGCGCCGGCATACTTGCTGAGATCGCCATTGTTGATGATGACGGTAACTGTTTTCTTTGGTCTTCCGCGCTTTCCTTTGCGGAAAGAAGAGGAAGAAGAAGAAACAGAGGAAGCGGAGGTCTTCTCTTGCTTAGGGTTTCGCCGGTTTGAGGCGTCGGAAGAGGTTTCGGTGGAGGGTGGCGATGTGTTTCGCTTCTTGCGACTCGCCATTGATTTCTTGAAAGTCAGCTCAGAGAGCGAGAGAGGAAAGGGCAGAGGTTTGGTGCCGTATATATAGGAATGAGAGGACGTTATTTGTTGTTAGAAATATATATACAAATTACACCATCCGAAATTTGTTATTTACAACTTGAAAATTTTTTACTCCGGGTCCGAACCCTGATGTAGAGGTACATTCGAAGTACAATGAATTACCTCCAAGTGGTGCTGAGAAAAAAAAAAAAAAACTCATTTTCCTATGATCTGACCCGGTAACACAGGAGAATATCTTCCCCCACCCCCCCCGATGAATATTCCTCCTGTGGTATTCCGGCGTTATTATATGTTATTGTGGTGGTATTGATGTATTATTGTGTTATTATAATACCAGAAATATTCTCATAATACAATAATACATGAATAACACATAAATAATGCGGAATAACACGAGGTAAATATTCTCCTGTGCTAAAATAATTTTTTTTTATTTTTCTGTCACCTCCACGTGATTTGATTTCATTGGACTTCGAACGTATCTCTTAGTCTGGAATCCATATATAATATTTGTTCTTACAACATAGCATTTTCTTTCACCCATTTTCTAAGTTCCCATTTAAATATCAAAATTCATGTTACAACCTAGACCCTTATTTTTCATTTTTATTAAATTCTCAATTCTTTTATTTTTCAAAATTCATGTTAAAACACAGTACCCTTGTTTATAAATATTAATGTTTTGAATGGTTTGCATGTAATTATCCCTTTTAAATATTGCAGAATTAAATTTGAAATTATAATTATATATTAAGTTGATTATATATATATATATATATATATATTGACAAATTTCTAATGTCATTTTCTCTTAGATAAAAAATAAAATTGAATGAGGGCTTTTGATCAAAATGATTTGAGTGATTATTTACAATTAATAAGAATAAATTTTATTATTATTAAATTTATTTTAAGATAAGTCGAATATATAAATTGATTGATTAATTATAGTTATGCTAAGAAAACACAAATTTTCTTAACATTTGTTTTAGGAAGATTTTAGCTATTGTGATTTGTTGTCTGATTGCAGGTCATACGTATAGCATGAGTTAGAGTATTTGTGAACTTGCACGGTCGCATGATGTGTCTGAAAATACTCGAAACTCATCATTCAATATTACATAGACAATGATTTAAAGGATTCATGTCAAGATTGTTTCTATAAAAATTTTATGTTGAATGTTGACTACCTAATATGATCATCCACTTTTCGCATTCGGGCAGTGAGACCCTACAATGGCAGTGTTAAAAATAAAACATGCGAGATTAGATAACATGTTTGCTCATTCCATAGTCTTAGGTGAGAAATAAAAATGTAATGGCTAAGCGAATTGCTATAATTGAAACATATTTGTCTCCAATATAGTACAATTAGTAATTTATTTTGAACTTTCATTTGATTGCAGTCTTATTGCCATGACTATGTAGCATGAAACTTCTAAAATTTTGTCGCACCCGTGTCAGACAAGTATCTGACACCGACGCTTGTCTGACACCTCTAACACTTGTTTGACACGCCCCAATACTTGTCCGATACTCCCCGACACTTCTCTAACACTACAAAAATGTCTGAATTTTTTTCAGGCCAGAACAGGCGTAGGGCACACCTCAACATTGCATTGGAGGAGAGCCTAACACTATTTCGAAAAAATGAGACACAAGAATTAGACAATTATAAAAATAAGTACAGCCTTAAATCTACATCAGAGTCTAAACCGCCCCCATCTCTCTCCCCTTTAACATTCATCAAAATAGAGCATCAAATGTGCATCCAATATTTGAAGCTGAACATTAGTAATTATTTCTTTGTAATCATAAGATTTTTTTAATTTTAGTAGATAAGTTGAATGAATTCTTTTGAAAAATATTATATCTAATTTAAAAACAAAATCATAACTATAAAGTTTTATAATATAAATTAAATTTGTGAAGTTAAATTTTATTCTTGCACAATTTGTATTGTGCTATTTTTAATAAAAAATAATGGAAAAATATATATTCTATATTAATAATAATTAAATATAAACACACGTCAATGACATGATGTGTTCTATTTTTTCAACTATGTCGTGTCCTCCTATCTTGTCGTGTCGTGTCGTATGGTGTTCGCATTTATATTTGTCCTAATTTATCTATGATACTAAATGATGTCGTGATGGACAAATCGTTATAAATTAGATAGTTTTGGACATTTGTTATGGTGTGGGGGAATGGAAAGGATATTTTTTGAAAAGAAAATTAGATTTTTTAGCACTTAAAAAGGCAATCTTGCAAAGTTCTTAGCGAGCTTCAAGGTGAGAAATGTAATTTGGATTTTTATAGTGTGGGATTTGTAAAGAGGCGTCATTATATATAGAGATAGAGCAATGGAGAGCCAGTAGATTTTAGGATGTTTTAAGAGGGCTTACAAAAGAGTGAAGAGAACATAGAGAGAAGCTCCAAAATTTTCTATCTTATAAAAGTTTAAGCACAACATTCTCTATAGCTTAAACACTCTACTTGTTTGTCATTGTTGTATACACTTCTTAAAATAAATAACTTACTTTATATTAATGCATTTCATTGAAATGCAATTTTCAATAATCTCTATATGAATTAATGATAATCAAGTCCTCTCATATCATGCAATGTCAAAGCATTCATATTTACAATCCATCGTATGTTTGAAGCATAAACACATACAAATTTTAAATTGTTAGTCATAACATCTCTCTTCCTAATTTGTCAAAAGATTTGATGTTTTAGGTATTTTGCACAATTATATATTAAATGCAATTATACATTAGCATTGAGGAAACAGAATTTAGAGAACCAAAATACTATAGTAGGTCTAACATGTATTCCAATTCAACAAGGTTGTAACAACCTAAAGACTTCTCTTATGTCTTTAACATTATTTTGTCATCTTTGATGGTTGATTCGACCTTATCCACCAAATCAAGATATGACTTCTCTCATGCCAAATCACAAAAAACTTTAAAATCTCTCTCTATGTAATTACTTGAACTCTTGTATTTATTTTCAAGCCTTCCACAATTTAGTTATAATATTGTTTACCTCTTCATTCCAATTAAACTAAAGTTGTGCCTAAATACCAACATACTTATCTACTATTCTCCTCATCTTTCAAGAAACTAACACTCATAAGAATTTCAAAAGTTATTGTCAAGATCTTGAGTTTAAATCTCGCCCACACAATAATAAAAACCCACCTTTCGAACTTTTGGGTTTGAGCGAACAAACTTCAAGTTTTACGTACATGTCATCTTACCTTTGTATGAAAAGATATATATTACTTACATTTTTTATGTGATTTAAGTATTGGATGATATAAATGTAAAATGTAAAATTTAGGAGTTATATATATAAATACATGGAAATTGGGCAGCACCTATGAAAATGTCCAAAAAATAATACCCACACAACAAAACCTCTTTCTCCCATGATTCTGAAGCTCAATATCACAACCTTACAAGCCCAATATCAGCACTAAAAATAGTTTAAAAAATGCAATTTTCCAGCTCTTAAAAGCATATTAATGATTTCAACAGAACAAACCAAACTTAGTAAACTGTTTAAAAAGCAACATTATTTGATGAATAATGATTCAAATAATCATTTTCTTTTAAGAGCCCGAAGACATCACTCTGTTTCACAATACAAAACTATATGTTTATATACAGGAAAAACAGACCCACTAAAAAAATGGAACAGAATGACAGATGAATCAAGAGTTGTGAAGAAGAGAAAAGAGCTAATCATCTGAGATCAACCACATCAAACTTCAAAGATGGATCCATATAAACATCGGCGCAGTGGTCGTAGATCGGACCGCCGTCTGGCGGAGATTGGTGGGGATGGAAGCCACGCTGGTCGCATTTCCTGATGATGGACATGCCTCCGGGAGTCGTTAACCTAAATATTCCATGTTTTCTGGGCACGAGGAAATTTAACATCAGGACTGAAACATGTAGAGCATTTTATCGTGTTCTATGAAGCAAGGATATAGACACGGGGATTAAAGAACACAAATTATGACATGGCTTGATTACAAAAAGAGCCTACATTTAATAAAATGTTAATATGAAATACATAGTTTTCTGGTATCATGGAGACATCATAAGATGATAAATAATATCATAAAAAAAATCTAAAACAAAAACAAACAATTAATAATTAAAAAAAAATTATTACACAAGCATTCACTGTGTCTTGTTGTGTCTTTGCCATATCCGCATGTGCCGATTAATAAAAAATATCCTAACATAATTTGTGGCATGTCAAATATGTGTTAGACGCGCCGAAGTCGTGCTGTGTTAGTGTACGCAAGTCATTCAAAAGTGTCCATCCTTATAGATCATGTTCCATTAAATCTTGGAATAGCAAAGAAGCAAGACAACTTCTTGATCAATAGCATTGAAATATCATCTAAGATTAGCTATAAGGCCGATGAAAGTTCGAAAACCATAAATTTGGAAAGATAATGTTTCATCAATATCTGATAAAATTTACCGATTATCAGAAGTCGATGAGGTTTTATGAAGCATTTTTCTTTTTCTTTTTTTCTTTGGACTAAAAAATCCTTTAACAAAATAAAAAATCCTTTAACAAAATAAAAAATCCAGCTTCAGGCATAATACTATAAAGTATAATGCCCGTTTGACTGAAAGCTTATTGTGCTAAAATAAGAAATTCAGGCATCCTTACCTTGAACTATCACATGGGGCCATAACAATTGCAATTGCTTCAGGTAGCATAACCTGATCAAGCACACAGGTGACGTCAAAAGAACACAATAAAAAATCAAAAACAGCCAAAGCAACCAGAAATAGAAGATAACAGGAATGAAAATATTTAAGACTTAAGATTATGTTAGGAAAATAAGTGAGGGAACGTAGGGGTGTAAACGAACCAAACACGAACGAACAGAGCTTGTGTTCGTGTTTGGTTCGTTTGAAATTTAGTTTGTTTGAAATAAACTCGTGTTCGAAATTGTTCGTGAAGTCACTGTTCGTGTTCGTTTCTTAACGAACGAGCAGAACGATGAGCCAGTTTGACATCCCTAATTTTAATATAATATTAATAATATATTATATTAATTATATAACTTATATTATATAAATAAATAATATCCATATTAGTATATTACTAATATAGTATATTAATATATTATTATTATTATTATATTAAATATTATAATTTATAAAATTTAATTTTTTAAAATATCATAATTTTTTTTATATAAAATTATTTTAAATTATTTTATATTTCGAAAAATAACGATTCGAACACGAACGAACGTATCACTGTTCGTGTTTGGTTAGTTTAACTAACCGAACGAAAAAAAAAAATTTCGTGTTCGTCTCGTTTACTTATCGAACGAATCGAACACGAATTCATTGATGAACCAAACACGAACTCTTCACGAATAATTCGCGAACAACGAGCTTCTTTTGACAGCCCTAAAGGAATGAAACAGCAAGTTAAACTCTCAAATCAATATTCGCAGATTCATTCTGATGCCGCAGATGCCTGCCTCCCATTTTCTTTTACCCTACAGAACAGTACCATCTTAATTACGCACCTGATAGGAATAGTGCGTGTGGACATCTATGGCAGACATGAAACAAGATTGGGTAGGATGGGTCTGCATAGTGGAAATGAAGTTCAATTAATTAAATCACATGGTATGAAACATATCGGGCGTGACACATTTACATAAATAACACATAATTCTTATCTATTTACATATCTAACACAGAAACATTCATATTTTCAAGCATACCACTCAAATTTTTAACATCATATCAAAAATATCACCATCATTACCTTTTTCTTTTAAAGTGGAATACACCTTTTCATGCATTGGTTTATGACATCAAGGTGTTATAACTGTAAATATCAAGCTTTGGGCATTACTTATGTAAATACATAATAATTGTGTGGTAAATTTTTCAAATTATTTATGTTCAAGGTATCAGCAGCACTTTTAAACAAGCAGCACTTCATCATGGTAAGAAGCATATCATGCATGAAGGGGGAGAAGCCATTGTATTGATACTTGAAAGTGGAATTACTTGATTCCATGGTTGAACGTAGTTTCAACATAGATTAAGTATCTCATATCAGCCTATTGTTAAAAGATTTGAACATGGATTTAATATTTAGGGGCATTTAAATACATACCACCAAATTCTCATGTATTTACTTACCTAACACCTAAACTTAGCTTTTTACATTTAGACCACCACAATCTTTCACATCACATCAAAAATACCACCATTTTAACTTTTACAAGTGAAACACAACTTTTTAGCCATAGGTAAGGTGGTATTTATGTAAAAATTAAAATTCAGGTGTTAGATATGCAAATACGTAAGAATTAAGTGGTATGTATGTTAATCTTCTAATATTTTACCATTTCTATCGCAGAAGAAAAACAAATAAAGTTGGAAAAAACATTGAAGAAACCGGAAAGCATCAAAAGACTGAAACATAAGATACCAAGAACTTTATGAAGATTCATTAATTAAAACATTGCAGGTTTTTGAAATATCTACATATTTTAAGATTTATGAGCAGGTCACTTGATTTAGGTTGTTAAGCAAGTCTTAAGAATATTATTAGTAGATAAATTTCCTGCTGTCTTTGCTTTCGCAAAGCCTAAGCTAGACTCGAAGGAGAGAAGAAATTCAGTCTATACAGAAGCTTGAGCCAATGAAATAGATGAAAGATGCACCTTGAAACTATACAGCAATGTATTACAAACTCCTAAAACCAAAAAGAGGATTGTTGTTTATCCAAAAGGTAAGGTGTCTTTTGGGATCACTTTCTTTTTATTTATTTTAAATTTGTTTTGTTTAAGTTTTAAATAGAAACAAAACATGTTGGCATATTTGAATGAGATATGTTTGTCTTTAAAAACACTCAAAACATCTAAAAACTATTTTGTGAGTTTCCAAAAAAAATTAATTGAAAAAAAAAACAAGTAAAAAAGACACTAAACAAATGTGCTTTTAAAAATAAAAGAAAGAAGAATTAAAATAAAAAATAAAATTGATCCCAAATAAGCCCTAAACATAAAAAATCCAATACGCATCCATCAGCTTTAGAATCATATAGCAATGAGGGTTTCATCAAGCGGAAATACTCACATGAATCCAACCAAGGGGAAAAAGCGAATTCTTATCCTGGTAATCAAATATTTCCTCTTCATTTGTAGCCTGGCACTGCATTACCAGTAAAATTTCATAAAAAAAGTTATAATATCATCAATCATCAGAGGATTTAAAATTTTAAGTCCCAAAATCTTACTGAATCGGTTGATCCCTCCTGTTTAGGAATGATAAGGGCAGTTACAAAAAATTTTTTGTTTTTCTGCAAAGGTAAACCAGTGCGCATTTTAATTTAACAGAAGGCGATCAAGAACTACGAACAACATTTTGAAAATCATATCCTTACAAGTAAACCAGCAATCACTCCACACGTTTCAATGTGTCTATCAGTATTTGACTTGGCCACTCTAAGAAAGCTCTCCATCATTGAAACCGACTACAACGCAACATCAAAAAGGCTGAGCAGAAAAACAAAGAAATGATGCAAAATAAAAGATTTTAAAATCGCACACCTTCCAACACTAGATAGCAGATACGGAAACTAGGGGTGTAAGTGAGGCACGCCAACTCATGAGCCAACTTGGGCTTGGCTCAATAAATGAATCGGGAGTTAAGCTCGATGAACTAATGAGAACCCCAACTCAACTCATTAGCTCATGAACCGGCTTGTTTAAAAAAATATTAAATAAACTATACTCAAAATATATTAAATTTCAAGGCATTATCTTTAAATTATTAAAAAAGTCAAAAAAAAATTTTTTATTTCGTATCAAGTGATTTTTTATTATTTGTCTCCTAATTGCTCATTTCATTTTTTATTTTATTATAACACTAGGTTAAAATAATATTATTTTCTCTCTTTTATTATAGACAAGCCAACTTGTGAGTCGGATCAAACTTAAAAGTTTGAGCCCAAACTCGATTTAATTAATCAAGCTCAAGCCCAAACTGAGGGTGCCTCGACTGGACTCATTTATCCCCCTAACTGAAACTAATTATGAAAATAGAAAGCACGAATATGTGGGATATCTCACAATGTGCACTTCTAAAGGAGACTCAGAGCCAACAAGCTCATTTGTAGATAAAGATGTTTGATCGAGCGAATTAGATAGTTGTGATGTCATAGCAACTAAATCTTCTACTTCTGCACGAACAGGTGGAGGTGAAGGATTTCTGATTAGATCAATTTTAGTAGGAACTTCTGTATCATCAAAGCTTATTAATGAAGATGGTTGTTCTGCATGAAACGAAGCTCCGCCATCGTGTAAGGAGAGCACTTCTGCTAAAATAGTATTATCTTGGGAAGGAGTGCCATTCTCTTTCACAGCTGGATCATCTTGTTTAGACTGAGGCAAACTAATAAAGACAAAGCAAAGAATTGTCATTGCCAAATATAATAGGGAAATTTACATACGTAGTACACAATTCTTATGTATTTACATACCTCACACCTAAACTTTTATATTTACATACATAGCACTTTAGTGCTTTAAGCCTACGCATGAAAAGGTGGATTTTACTCTTAAAAAGAGGTGATAATGTTATTTTTTATGTGATATTAAAGATTTGAGTGCTACATGTATAAATATGAAAGTCTAGGCGTGAGAAATGGAAATGTATAAGAATTGTGTGCTATGTATCTAAATTTCCCATAATAATGGTAAAATAGGATAATGTACTAAAATGGAAATAAATTCTCATTCCCAAGCAAGAAAAATTGCAAGCTAACAAGTATATAATTGAGAAAACTATGATGAATATCAGAAAGAATGCCTGAAAACAACCTTGGGATTTCAATAGGAGATAAGTCTATATTGCATGGATATTGAACCTGCATAAACAAAAAAAAATTAGTTAAATCTGCTTCTGCATTTTTTTCAAAAGAGAGACTTTACAAACTAAATGTACCGGTTGACTGAAACTTGGTGGCAACCAGTGTCCTGAAAGGCCATTGGGTCCTAAAATAGAGTGCCTTGATAAAGTTTCCTCCTTAGGCCGCAGGGTTGTAAGAGATCTATCAAGAATGCCAAATACATCCATAAATAAATGTTATATTATATTTAACCTAAGACGACAATATATTTTTTTCTGTAACGATTTGGGTGTTAGAGAAAATTCAGTTTTCATTACTTATTGAGAATCATCTTCATCCCAACCATTCGCATTTGTCATGAATACATATTTTTCATTTATTCTCAAGTGTTTCTAAAGGTGCTAAACCTTTTTATCTCAAATCATTTGAGCAATTATATGCATGTTACCGTAGATGGTTACATTGCTACAATATTTAAAAAAAATAATAATAAAACAATGCTACAACTTGAAAGGGAAAAAAACCTTACCATAGGTCTAACCCTTTCTCTCGTAATCCTTCCATATTAATTTCATGTCCTTATCTATTACTTTTATCAATAATATACTCTTATCACATAAATACTCAAGAATTTCTCAATTTTAATTATAAACCTTTTACTTTATAAGTCATAACCTCATTTATACCCTCAGTTTTCTATATAACAGATCCAATATATTTAACCTAGCAAATTTAGGTCTTACTTTTATCTTCTAATAATATTAATTTATAATTTTTTATATCACAACCGATAAGTTATATATCATCTGCATAGCTTTTATTCTACTAATTTTTAAGTTCTAAGTCTCACAAAAATATTTTTCAACTGTTCAAACTGTTCATTTATTTCATTGGTTATGATAAGCAGACCAGTTAACCAACAGCAAAGAGGAAAAATGGAAGCAATTTTATTTTTTTTAAAAAAAGTTCAAAATTATGTTAACCATGCATGTTGGAGAAACATCATTTGAAAATGGTAAAGTGACTCACAAATAGAAACATATATTGAAATTTCAAATTTGCCAAATAACTATACCACAATAAATCCTAAGTTTTGCCATGAAAGAATTTGAAATATAGAACTAATATATATACACCAGGTAACTCCCATAATTCGATTTAAGAATCAAAATATCAATGGCCTTTCACAACAGATTTTTTATTCAAGATGCAAAATGCAAGAAACTAGGAACAGTTTATAATCATCCTAATCACCCAAAAGTTCCTAATTGTATTGATTGGCTACAGGAGCACTACAGTAGCTAAAAATTTCCCTGGATTTGCGACTCAAAATGAAGAACGTAAATTTTCTTCTTTAAATCAAACTTAGGTTTTAAAGATAATATCAATTCTCAGGCTTTTCAAACTTGAAATTCTAAATTTTAAACTCAAAGTCAATAACAACTTTTAAACTTAAATCTCAATGATTAAACTAACCAAAAGTTAAGCTTTTAAAATTAAGGGCTTAAGGTTTATAATTAATTCAAAAATTTGGAATTTTCAAATCTAAACTCTTATGTTTGAATCATTTGAATTAACCCAAATATTAAATATTTGTACTTTCAAAAAGAACTTAATACATTTGGCTTAGCCTAATTCAAAATTGAAGTACAAAATTCACAAGGCTAGGCTTAAATTGAAATTCAAATACCCGGAACTGAAGAGCTAAGTTTGATTTAAAAAAACTTACCACCAGATTCACAATACATCTGCTAACGAATAGAAAACGGTCCCTCTTATAAGCCAAAATGAAAGTATTAGTACAAAAATCATAACACTTGCTTCAAGTATCACAAGTTCTAAATGAATAAAAAAAATGTTCAAACTTAAACTTCAAGGCTTTCTTAAAGTCGAATGCAAGGTTTTGGAATTTGTACACGTATTTTTAGGGTATATGAATAAAAAGGCAAGTTATAAATATTTTAAGATATTTATGGGTCAATTATGTGTAATCTCAAAACTTTATATAACACAATTTCAAAAATTGCACGCATGTGCTCCAACCAATGTATCAAATGCTCAAATAGTAGATTTGAGAATGTTGGGAGGGCTAATCAGGCAGCTTTGTCTATAGGATAGATTCGTAAGTCCCACTTCACTAGCTTGATGCTCATTGCAATGATTGGAGTTGATGAGTCTAGTAATTTTGAAATAAATGTTCAATCCCTTAAATAAGAATTTACAAGTCCAAATCACCTAGTCTGATACTCCTACCTATAAGAATATAAGTTGAATGAACTTATACTTTAAAAAGCTTAAATTAACAAAACTAAATGTTCCCCCTTCAAATAAAAAAACTTTAAATGATCAATTCCCATTTGATAGTTGTGTTGATCGAAGATTTCAACCGGGTATGTCAATCTTTTAAATCAAGATTTTCATACTAACTAACTAATATTTAAATAAAATCCAATCACTTAAAAGCTAAAAGCAAAATCTATCCGCCCTCCACAGCAGTTATTTGAGGATGACAATTTTTATTGACTTCAGCTCACAAAGAACTAATGACATATTAAATGTATCTCTATATTCAAAATCAAGTAATTGCATATCAGTAAAGACGTGGCTCGGTACTCTGTGTTGTGGTATATAAAAAATAGAACGATCGATGACGAAGCGAAAAAAATAGAATGAGAAAATTCGCAATGCCGGAAAACACAGCAGAACACACAAATTTATTACGTGCAGCAAATTGTCTACGTCCACGGAGTTGCAGGGGATTTTATTACTTGAGGATTTCCCCCCCGCCGATCGTCTCGACGATTACAAGAAAAGTCTATTCTCTTCTTCTTCTCTCTCTCCTTCTAAGCCAAGAAAGAAGAAGACTAGGGCAAACGAAGCCTGCTATTTGTTTTGCATTTCACGTATGCTACAGCCAAAACACATCAAAAAAGGAGAAAAAATAGTAAAGAAGCATATAGGAGAACTGAATACCTGCTTCACGCATACGTCACCAATTTCTTCTGCCTTTTTCTCAACCACGAGAAGAAGAAGAAGCAAAATATACATTGAGTTTTGGCTGTTGTTCGCAAAAACAGGAGGGGTTGCATTGTTTCGCAAAATGAAGAGAGAGTGTGAGAGAGAGAGACAGAAACAAGTATTGTATTTAACATTTTTTTTTATCGGGCTCCACTTATAACAAATCTCTCACTTGGAGACCAGTACACATGCAGAATCTTCTTCCTCAAACTGATATCCTCCACTGGCGGCGTCGCCCCTTCCTTCAAACGTGATATCCTCAATCTCTGCAACTCAAGACCACTGTCTTCAAGCTAGAAGACCAATTGAAGCTGCGCACAACTTCAGTTTCTCAAAAGTAACACCCTGTCAACATATCAGCAGGGTTATTGCTTCCACAAATTTTCTCAAGCAACAATTGTCTCATCCAACAATAACCGTATGAAGTAATACCTGATCTGAATGTGTTTGGTCTTGTACTGAAATACTGGATTCCTGTCAAGGAATATGACGCTCTGATTATCACTGTAGAGAATACCCTTCTGATTCTTCTTGTCCAATTATTCTAAGAAGCCCTGTAGTCATATCATCTCCTTTGCAGTCTCTAATACTGTTATATACTCAGCTTCTGTACACAACGAAATTGTGTACTACAAATTAGAGCCCCATGACACTGTTGTCTCACTAATAGTATAAATACAGCCCATAGTACTTCTGATATGAATGTCTCCAGCTAGATCAACATCAACATAGTCTTGTACCTCTAAACTCTTTCTTTAGAAACACAAGCAAGTTTTTGAAGAGCCTCTTAGGTACCTCAAGATCCACTTCACAGCTTCCTAATAATCCTTTCCAGGATTACTCATGCATCTGCTAACAACTCTCATTGCATGGGCAATATCTGGCATAATGCAAATCATAACATACATAATTGAATCAATAGCTGAAGCATAAGGAACCTTACTCATGTGGTCTCATTCCTCCTCTGACTTGGGTGATTGATTCATGTTTCTTGCCAAGTTTGAAGTGACTGCGCAAGGGTCTGCCAACTGGTTTGGCCTTATCCATATTAAACTTGCTAAGTACATTTTTCACATACTCAGCCTGCAAGAGTCTCAACATGCCTCTGACTCTATTTCTGACAATTCTCATGTCAAGGAATTGCTTTGTTGCTCACAAATCCTTTATTGCAAAGTTTTCTGACATCTGCTCCTTCAGATTATTGATCTCATCAATACTAGCCTCTGCAATAAGAATATAATCCACATACAACAGGAAGATGATATAAAAATTGTCAAAATGTCTGATATAACAACAGTGATCTGCCTGACATCTGTTGTACCCTGCACTGTGTATGAAATTATCAAATTTCTTGAACCACTGTCTAAGAGTTTGTTTCAAGTCATACAAGCTCTTCTTCAGTCTGCAAACTAAATATTTTTTTCTCTGCATCACGAACCCTTCAAGTTGGTGCATGCAAGTAGGGGTTCAAACAAGCCGAAGACGAGCTGTTTATATTTTGAGCTCAAAAATTGTTTGCGTTCTACTCGTTTGTTTAGCGAGCAGAACACAAGTCGTTCACGAATAAATAGTCATTTTGACAACCCTAATCATGTAGCCATAATATGTTAAAAATTGTGGTAAGATTTAAAAATTATTGTTTATATTAAAATATTATTTGAATCTAATTTAATAAGTTTTATTCTACTTGCTTAATTAATGCTTTTAGTTAATTATAAATATTTGTAGTCTTGTAGACAATTAGATTTTTTATATATATATATATGTAATTGATGAGTAGTATTTCGAGCCAAAACAAGCTGAACACGAACGAACAAATCTTTGTTCATTTTCGGCTCGTTAACTTAGAGAACGAGTCGAACACGAGCTGTTCGTTAACAACGATCCATTTTGACAGCCCTAAATGTAAATGTCTTCTTCAAGATCCCATGAAGAAAGGTTGTATTCACATCTAACTGTTCAAGGAAAATAACTTCATTAGCTGTCATAGATAGTACCATTCTGATGATTGTAAGCTTCACCACAGAAGAGAATCTCATAATAATCAATATCATGCTTTTGTTGAAAGTCTTTTACAACAAGTATAGTCTTGTACCTCTTACTGTCATAATGTTCGGTCATCACCCGGTACACCCACTTGTTGTGTAATGTCTTCTTCCCTGGTGAAAGATTGTCAACTCCAA